CCAATATTACATCTTTGAAACTATTCTACTAAAATTTTCAAATAAAAAAAATAGGAAAATGTATAGCTATTTCTCGTGTATTTATCATCTATATTCAATAACTGTCATTATTTCTGGATTGCATTCCATTTTATATTTGATAAAACTGGCATTGCAATGATAGTCTCTCTATCCAAGAACATGGTATGTATTTCCATTTATATAAATCTTGTTCCTGTATTCTTCAGTAGTAAGTAAAGCTGTCTATATATAAGTCTTGCTTATTTTGATGTTATTTTGTTACTCTATGAGGGACTAACATTTTTGATTATTTGTAATCACTTTCCTTTTTTTAATTTTTTTTTTTTGTCATAGTGCATGTGTATTCATGAGAGGCAGAGAGAGAGAGAAAGTAAGAATCACCTCCCCCCTGCCCCCGAGAGAATGACCACACTAAAATTCCTTCTTCTCCATTCCCTCTCAGGATATTTGGCACATGTACCCAGCATGATTTTTGAGCTGCCGGGTCTGGGATTCAAACTGTGATCAGCCATGTGGGAGTTCAGTGCCTTATCCACACACCACCTGCTAACCCCTTATAATCACTTATCAGTTAATTCCCTAATGTCTCTCGGTTTGAATCAAAGAGAGTGTGTTTTAGCTCCTTTAAATTTTTTTCTTACCTTAGTACCCGTGGTAAATTTTGAAATAATGTTATTATACTGACCATCCAAATCTTGTTTTGACTATTGACTAAACTCCGACCACCATGAGTAATGGTAAAATTAGTGTATTTCCTATTCCTCCTCTTCCCTCCCTTTCAACATCCAGCTATTACTTTAATTGAGATGGGCACAGAATTAGTACACAGTTTTAATCTACTTTTCGGAAAAGTCAGTAACCGAATCATGTCGTAATTCATCTGACTCGGACAAGAAGGGAACTGCCACTTTATTTTTAAGTCACTTAGATTGATGTATAATATACATGGAGCAAAACATCCTTTTTGATTTACAGTTTACTGTGCTTTGATAAAAACAGTCATGTAATCAGCACCAAGGTCAAGAAATATATAGGATTTATCTTCACAAACGTCATCATTCAATTTTAACCAAGAGTATCATTATAATGTTAGCTTTGCAGTACTAATGCACTTAAAATTCTTTTAACTGTTATGTCAGCTTCAAATGATATTCCATAAATTTCTGTTCTTAGAGGTAGAACAATTAAAGTACAAAGACCTTCCAACTTGCCTTTTGCATTCCCTTTCTAATTTCTGTGAGATGCAGTATTTGATGTTGTTAGGATATAAAACATTTATATTTTGTGTGGAGGTTAAGTGCTGGACCCCACATGGCTGACTGAATGGTTTGAGTACCAGACTCAGCAGCTTGAAAATCATGCCAGGTGTGTAGCCATGTGTGCCTAAGATCCTGAGGGGAGAGTGGAAGAGAAGGGATTGTGCCGATGTGGCCATTCCCCCTGGGGGATGATTTTCTCACTTTCTTTCTCTTCCTACATCTCTCTATCTCTCTGGCAAGCATATGCAAACTATAGTAAAAAAAAACAAGAACAACAACAAAAACAAAATTTATATTCCATATTATCCTAAAATATAAATTTGTTTTTTTCCTCATCCCTTTGTTGGCTGAATGTAAAAGATTACAATTCCTGACACAGAATTAGAGCTTAGTAAATCTGAACTATGCTTATTAAGTTTATAAAATTATTTTTATGAGAATAATATTAAACGATTAATACTATACAATTGCTTTAGTGATAACAAGAAGAATGAACACCCAAGTTATTAGGTGACTGTGTTTTATAAAACCTCAACACCCTATCATTATATATATAAAATGAGAGAGAAAAAGATCCTAAATTCATGGAAGAGCATATCATGGTCTCCTTGTGTATATTATATGGGCCTTTAATAGTCCCACTACTTTATAATGTAATCACTTTCTAAAAATGTTTTTGAGTTGATTTACTTAGTCATGACAGCCAAAGAGACAGACTAACTGATTTTGGCAGGGTCTCATCATGTCGGAACCCTCCTGTCCCAGCTTCCCAGTCAGCTAGGACCATAGGGACTTGGTAACATGCCCAGCCTGTTTAGGTTGAGCCCAGAACTGAATCATGGCCTTTCATGTAGCCTCAGCCTCCAAGAAGCATGCACCACTACATGTGCCCCTAGAATTTTTGTATGGGCTATACTTCCCTAATCTAAAAATCCAAAATCTAAAATGCTTGAAGTATACAAGATTCTGAGCACCAACATGACTTTGTACGTGAAAAATTACACACCTGACCCCACATGAGGGGTTACACCCAAAATGCCATAGGCCCAATCACAGCAGCATGGCCTGGAGTGCCAAATGCGGCTTGGCAGGCTGGAGGCATACTGGGGTGCCCCACTTCAATTTCTGGACCAATTTAAGGGGCTGGCATGGTGCTGTATGCTCAGGAGATTGAAGCAGGACAATCACAGCTCAGTGACACCCTGTCTAAACCACCATATGCACATATCAAAAAAAACAAAACCAACTAAAAAAAAATTGCAATACAAAGATATTTGTATAAAATTATGTTCCAGCTATGTGCTAAGAGGACTATGAAATACACATGAATTTCATGCTTAGACTTGGGTCACATCCCCAAAATATCTCATTATGTATATGCAAATATTTCAAAATCCAAGTAAAAAAAAATCTGAAATCCAAAACACTTCTGGTCCCAGGCATTTTGGATAAGGGATACTCAATCTGTACCACTAATTGCTTCGAAAGCATTCCTTTAGAAAAACATAAAGAAAATCTTGGCTTTGCAGTAAAACGAGCATCTGCATGACTGGGGCTAGTCATCAAGGCCTACTAAGTACACGAAATAGGCTAAACCATCTCATTTTACTTTTTTGACTTTTCTTTCTTGTCTTTAGATTTTATTAACAAATATACTCAACAGCACAGTGTAAGCAGTTAAATCTCTCTTCAGTATGCGTCTAGATGATCTTAACTCTAATAACAGCTTTACACAAACACGGCACTAAGACAAAATTAGGAGCCTCCCCTTCATCCTTCTGAGAATGGGAAATAGCCCAGCCACTGTTCACACTGCTGTAGGTTCTTAATGAATTTCACTGAGAATTCAATTTAAATGTATTAAGTTGCTGTCAGGTCTTCAGTAAGATCAATGAACACCATTCAGGGAAGTATGAAATCAGTTATCTGAATCTTCCCTGGAATTTCAAGGCAAAAATGAGATTCTCAAAAATGCACTCCAGAAGAGAAACAACAAGGCTTAGTGAAGAGGATGTTAATATAAGAGTCAAATAGATTTGAGTTTAAAAACTAAAAATCAAGACTTGTGCATGTAATCGTGTCATCCAGGACCCTTTATGAGAGAGTTTCTAAAACCTCAAAGGGCTGTAGTAAGGGCTGCTAATAAATAAAGGTAGAGGACATGGTTTGAAAACTAGTAGATAACCAACAAATAGTAGATAATTATTATTTTGTAGTCGCTAACTGTAGTAGTCGTTAAAAAAAATGAAGCCATTGTAATTACAGAAATATATAGCCAACTGTGATAGGGTAAATTATAAATAAAAATTCTGACCAGGTTCATGGCAGATATCAGGAACATATCTTGAAGTGGCTGCAGAAAAGACAGTGATAAAATCGGCACAGTGTGGGAAAGGCAATGAATCCGCTTAAATGCTATTATAAAATGCTATTGTTTGGGAGAATGCTCTACACTTTATGTTTTGGCCATACTGATTCCTAACTATATCATAATTGCCAGAGTGATTCCATAGAACGTGGATGGCAGGAGGCATGACTATGGCCAAGTGCTCACATCATTAGATCCGATGTCTGCCCTGTCCGTGCACTTCTATGTAACGGTATCATCAATGAACTCTGACCCTGGAAACCATCTGTTGATCCTGAAGCTTGGAGAGCAGGAAGGTGCACGGAGAGGTGACTGAAGGGGGACAAATGACGTTCAATTTAGTTTGAATGATTCAGTTCAATAAACATGTATGATGACGTATCAACCTTCCAGAAGTTATGGAGCTCAATGAATGGCCAAAGAAAACAAAACGTAACCCCTGCCCTAAAGACACCTTGCTTGTGTACAGTTGTTCACAGCCTTTTGTGGCAGCGTTCCACAAAAACAATCTCCTTCTGAATGTGCAGAGTTCATATGATTAACTATTTTCCAGAGACATGAAAAGAAAGCCTTCCAAATTTATTGGGAGCCACTTACATACTGACTGGCTGCACTGCACTTGAAAAAACTATAACAACAGAAACCAAACAGTCACAGCTTTAAATGTTCTCATAAATCACAGAGAAGCAAGTTTTATAAATTTAATGAAGTCATGGAAAATTCTCCATCAAAATAAATAATCTCCAACTTAGGTTAAGATATACTTATTTAAAAAATAATTATTTTATTTAACTTCATTTATTATTATTATTTCTTAAAATTTGACCAGAGAGAGACAATGAGAGAGAGGGAAAGTGAGAAAGCAAGCTACCAGGTTGGGGACTCAAACCGTGGTTGATCATGTGAGAGTCCAGTGCCTTTAACTATCATGCCACCTGCTGGACCCCGGTATAATATACACTAATGGGAAAAAAGGGAACTAAATGGCATGAAGAAAAAAAAAAAAACACACAAAATAATTAGTTAGTTTTTATTTAAGAATTTGTTAGATTTTGATTCAAATATCAAGAAGTCTCCAAAACCTACTCTTTAGGTTTTTATATATATTTCAAAACAAAAAACTCTTCTGTAAAAAGTGTTCCGGAGAATACATGAACTTCAAGTCCTGCACATTATACATAATGTCCTCTCAACAATATAGTAAACGAATGTCTTAAAGCTTTTTCTAATGGAAACATCTTTCATCTCTATTGGGAACGTTCTCAGTCATGCATAGTTTATTTGAAATCCAAAGGTTCATTTGGTTCTGCCAAACTAAAATTAGATTATTAAAACCAGAATTTTATACTCACCTGATCCTCCTTTAGCCAAGTACTTGTTCTTTGCATAAAGGACAGAATCTAACATAGACTCGAAAAGAAGAAAATAGCCCTGGAAAAAAAAAGAAAAAGACAAAATAAGATTTCAGAGAAGTACAATGTCTTATCTTCTTATGAGGATAAGCAGATCAAATATTTGGGCTAATTTCTGCATCATTAAATAATTATATTTTTGTCTTTGCCATACAACATTCTGCAGTCTGAAATTATTATTCAAGTTTTTTTTTTTTTTTTTTTACTCATGAGCAAGCACATACTTGTGTATATGAGAGCATTTTAACGTAAAGGAAGCACTTCACAGCTCTGCTTAGGCTGCCTACATTGCTGGAATCACTACCTGTGAACTTTGAGGACATTATTAAGTATCACTTGCGAGAACCAATGTCAGTTCTACCCTTACCTTTTATTTTTTAGGTTTTTACCATAGGGCATGTGCGCTGGCTGGAGAGAGACAGAGACCTTAATCTCGGCTTTCTAAATCAAAACCATTCCCATCCACCCATTTGTTACGTGCATAAAGAACCGTCTGATGGGATAACTACGAACAGCCTTTAGCAACATGAACAAAAAAAGAAAAAATCTGCAAACCCAAGATGGATAATCTTCATAAGAGATTAGCAGCAAATTTTAATTTGTAGAAAACACAGCTCTCATGCTTGAATCACTCATAAAGGAACTAATTCCTAATTAAATTGCAGCTAGCAACACTACACTGGCATTTCTTACTCTACCAAACACACCAATTCATTGATAAGAAAATAACTGTTACATATTAAAGATGAAGCTTCTTTATTAATGTGCTCACATAAGGAAAATTAAGGATTTGATGGAAATTGTTTTGTTTTTCTGGCTAGAATACATCAGTAATATGTTAAACTCTTTTTTCTTTTCTTTTCCTTTTCTTTTTTTTTTTTTTGGAGAGGTTTTTGCTATAGGGCACGTGAGCTGCCAGAGACAGAAAGTGAGAAATCACCCCACCCCCCAGGGGAATGGCCACTCTGCAATCCCTTCTCCTCCATTCTCCTCTCAGGATCTTGGGCACACAAGCACATGTGCCAGGCGTCAGTTTAAGCCACCAGGTCTAGAACTCGAACTGCAGCCGACTACATGGGAGTCCAGCAACATAGCCATTAGGCCAACTGCTAGTCCCAAACTCTTAAAGTTATTACCCCATTAATGTGATATGTGTATTCAAACAAGAGGCTTGTGGAATTCAATGAAGAAATCTTTACCATTCTAATATAATTCATGCAACTCTACATATAAAAATGCTTACAAATAGGCATTCATCCATTGATTTAAGTGAATTATAAATTATGCCAAGAAATTATTATAAGAGGGTACATCCATTTGCCTTATGGAAAAGATTAGTTAGCAAAACGTGATAATCTATTAGGGTTCCTATTTGTAAGATTCCAGTACTTTAAAAGTTATAATAAAAAATATGGTATGAATTAAGTACTCTCTATAGTGAAATCTTACTTGGCTAAGGACAAAAGAAAAAGTCTGTTATTAGCGTGGCACTGTGTCAAACTGTTCTCTAGTATTACTCTTTAAAATCAGTTAGCTATGAACCAGCAGGTGGCATGCAGGTTAAGATACTAGATCTCACATGTCCTACGATGTGGTTCAAGTCCTGGACTCAGAGGCTTGGAAAATACTCCAAGCACGTGTGTGTGTGCGCGTGTGTGTGTATGCCTGAAATCCTGAGAATGGAGAAGGGACGGTGGTGTGGCCATTCCCTCGAGGGCGGGGGGGGTGTGTGTGATTTCTCACAAGCCCTCCTCCCACAGGTGAATGCATGCGTCCTATAGTAAAATCAGCTAAATCTAAGCATTGTGTATTCATATTCTCAAAGTCGATCTCGCTTCTATGCATTACAATTAAACCAAAAAAACAAAAATCTCTTGAATCAATCATTAAAAATAACTTGTCTGGCAGCATCCTCATTCATTGTGCTTTTTGTTTGTTTTTGTTTTTGTTTTTTAAGAGGGCACATGTGCTTGCCAGAGAGAGGGAAACAGAGAAATCTCCCCCAGAGGGATTGTCACATCACAATCCTTTCTTCTTCATTCTCCTCTTGGGATTTTGGGCACACACGCACACACACACACACACACACACACATACACACACGAGCAGTGTGATTCCCAAGCTGCTGGGTCTGGGACTCGAACCAGACAGCAGTGTGAGAGTCTAGCAATTAACCACCATGCCGCCTGCTGGCTCTAAAATAGGTTTTTTTTTGTGTGTGTGTTTTTTTTTCCAAATAGTTTTTGCTATAGGGCACATGTGCTCACTGGAGAGACAGAGACAGAAAGAGAGAAATCACCCCCCAGGGGGAATGACCATGCCACAATCCCTTCTCCTCCATTCTCCTATCAGGACCTTGGGCATGCACACGCTCCCAGAGTGAGTTTTAAGTCACCAGGTCTGGGACTCGAACAGCGGTCGACTACATGGGAGTCCAACAACATAACCATTGTGCCATCTGCTAGTCCCAGGATAAAGTTTTTATTAGTTACTCATCAGAGATTAAATTATATCATATTTAAAATGTGGTCAATAACAATAGCACAGTGGTTAAGCGAGTGGACTCCTGAGTTGAAACCCCAGGGACCAGCAATTAGCATAATGGCTATGTTGCTGGACTCCCATGTAGTCGACTGCAGTTCGAGTCCTGCACCTGGTGACTTAAAACTCACGGCGGGCACGCGTGCGTGCCCAAGATCCTGAGAGGAGAAAGGAGGTGAAGGGATTGCAGCGTGGCCATCCTCCCTGGGGGGTGATTTCCCGCTTTCTGTCTCTGTCTGTCTGGTTGGGCAGTCGCGGAGTCCTGTGTAAGAAAACTTGCAAAAAAAAAAAAAAAAAAAAAGATGAACCCCTTTTCCTATGGGAACTTGGGCAAGTTAACATAATTATGCTTCAGTTTCCTCATCTGTAAAGTGACAGATGTAATAATAGGTTTCCTCATCTGTAAAGTGACAGATGTAATAATAGGTGTTCTATTTCATAGAATTACTGTGAAGATTAAACATATAACATGTATAAAGAGTTTGAAACGACTAACCTTAGTCAAATAAATTGTTATTTCTAAAACATACAGTCGTATATGGTAATCCGTGAGGGATGGGTCCAGAATCCCCTCCCTTGGACCCCAAAATCCATGCTGCATAGTCCTCTCATTCTGTATAGGCCCAGAGGCACAGAAGCTGCAGCAGACAGCCTCCAATGTCCGCAGATGCTGAACATGGAGATGGGGAGTCCTTCATTACCCATGGATACAAAGGGCCAATTATATTTGTAAGGGGCTAATCAGAATTCTAATTTTTATTATGTTCTGGGGTTTTTTGGAGTCTATCAGAATACATTTTCTTGTGTCGTTTATTTTTTTAGGTTACCCAATAATGTGCTTATGTGTGTGCTTGAGAAAAATTATAAAGCCACTCAAAATTTCTTTAAAATGAGAATGTTAGTCTGATCAAAATACTTTGTTCAAATTGGCCAAATCAGTGCCGGTTCCAATTCTGAGGTTCTTCTTCTCATAAGGATATTAACAAAATCTGCCCCCCCCCACCAGGACAAAAAAAAATCCATTTTAGTTACTCCTATGAGTTTTGGTATTTATAGTTGAGACTCACCATATGACTGGTTCCATCTGAAATAATAAACATCAATAAGCACTTCCTTACCCCATTACAGAAACCTTTACTAAAAACCAGAATCATGACTGGACAATATTAGGGATAATTCCGAATTAAACAGCCTAATTTTCCTAAGGTTCTAACTGTTTAAACATAAGAGATACCCACCTTGGAGCCAGCAAGTGGCATGGTGGTTAAGGACACATGGTTGACTGAGGTTCAAGTCCTGGGCCAGGTGGCTTGCTTTCTCATTTTCCACTCTCTCTCTCTCTGTCCCTCTCTGCTCAAATTAAAATAAAGTTAAATGAAAAGAACTCTTTAAGAAAAAAAGAGATACCCACTTTACAGAGTGCTATGGTTTGAACCTGCACCCCCAAATTAATCCACTGAATTTTGGTTATGATGGGATTAAGAAGGTATAAACATTTTTAAAAGAATTATCTTATTTATCATTATTATTTTTTTACATTTGCTAGAGAGCATGTGCACTCACCAGAGAGTGACAGAGAGAAAGAGAGAGAGAGAGCAAAATTTGAGAAAGCATACTGCCAGGTCTGGGACCTGACCCATAGTCAGCCACTTGGGAGTCCAGTGCCTTAACCACCATGCCATCTGCTGGCCCCAAGAGGGTATACACTTAACCCAACTGTGGTGTTGAAAAAAACTTGGGCCTTTGGGAGATTAGGAATAGACACAGCCACCAAGGTGGGCCCCAGTGATGAGTCCTACAGGGTTTACAAGGAGAAGGGATAAGGAGACATGTAACAGGAACATGGGTCCTGCCTCTCACCATGTGTCACTATATGCCACCACATGCCGTGTGCTGCTCAGGACCATCCAGAGTCCCCACCAACAAGATCCTCATCAGATGTGGCCCCTTGACCTTGGGCCTCCAAAACTGTGAGCCAAATAAACCTCCGTTCTCTTTACACATGATCTGACCTGTGGTGTTCAGTTATTACGCCACAGAGAACAGACTGAGAGAGTGGGGTGAGGTGATTTAAGTCATAAAGCTGGAGAGAGAAACCTGGACCATCTTTAACTCCCCTGACAAAACACTGGGCTCAAGATTCAATTCCCACCACTATAAAACTCAATGGTGAGAGGGAATACAAACAAGAGAGAGAAGAAAATCATCCCTGGCAGCAGAAACACCCTACCATACATCCCACGTTTGCTTTTGTTTACTCACGTGAAGAACTTAGCCCAGTGGCTGACACACAGTGGACAAATAAAGCCCATGGAAGACCACAATGATACGACACTTGGGTTTGGCAGAGTTACCATACAGAGTCAGCCCTTTACTATTAGGTACAATTGGGATTAAAATAAATAGAAGCAGGAGGCTAAAGTGAGTCTTTCTTCTTTCATCTTTTTCTAATTTTTAATCTGTTTTTCTCTCTTCGCT